GTTCTAAACTCAGCTGTTTTCATCTGCTGGAGTGTAAATGTTTGACAGCCCTCTCAATTTTAGTATTCTCAGACAGAACTAGGGCCTTGCCCTAGTTATGCCCCTGATGAAGATAGCCCAATGTCTCCTAGTCCAGCAGGGCATGAATCAGAATAATTGGATTTCACGTGGGTCATAACAGATCTGAAAAGCGACCTCTCTGTATACAGAACAGACTGTATGTCTGTAAGTGATGCTATTTGGTGACTTTCAACAAGCATTTATTATGCAATTATTATGTATCAACACTGTGCTGAGTGTTGGGGATGAAAAGTAAGGCATGTACTCTGTGACCCAGCAACACTGGCCTCCTTGCTGTTCCTCGGACAGGACTCTTCATCTCCCAACTTTCATCAGCTGTTTTCCATGCCTGGAATTCTCTTCCTCATCTCCTTCACTTGGCTTCTCTGGTTTCCTTCAAACCCTAGCTAAAATCCCACCTTATACAAGACATCTTTCCCAACCCCTCTTAAGTCTAGTCCCTTTGTTCTGCTGATTATTTCCAATTAATCCTGTATGTAGCCAGTATACACGGTTTTTGCCTGTTGTCTCTCCCCTTAGACTGCAAGCTCCTTGAGAGTGGCACTTAAAATAGCTCTTGGCACTGTAGACCCTTAGTAAATGTGATTGATTGATTACGTGCAGGCAAAGACTGTCTTTTTTCATATTTTCATGCCTAGCACTTAGCACAGTGCCGAGAATATAGTAGACTCTTAATACACATTTATTGACTGACTGGCTATATGCCTAGACCTTTATTTACGTCTGACTTCCTTGGAGGTATCTTCCAGGAGTGGGATCTATGGCCAAAGGGTACAAATAACTTTAAGAGAGAAGGCATAATTCCAAATTGTTTCCAGGATGGACAGGGCAATTCACAGTTCCAGCAAGAGACCATATTGTTCTTCTTCCAGCCTGGAGTGTAGGGGGAGGGAAGGAGTGTGGATTTAAAGAGGATCTGGGCCAAAATAATGGGCATAAACCAAAGGCCAGCCCAGGTCAGCAACCAGAGACTCTTCTGTGCACCAAATCTAAGAGGCTGAAATTCAAGTGTGGAATAGGAAACAAGATGTTGATCCAGCAAAGGAGACGAGGAAAAGGAAATAGCAGTGTCTGAAGGACAGGAAAGGAGAGAATATCTAGAAAGATGAGGGGATCGATATGTCAAATGCTGCATAGAGGTCAAACAGAACGAAAACTAAGAAAAGACTAATCAAATTAGCTGCCAGCCTTTTGGAGAGCAATTTCACTACTGGTACATTCAGAAACCAGATTGCCAGGAGTTGAAAAGTGAGTGGGAGGTGAAGAAACAGAGGCAACAAGTATAGATGTTAAAAATATAAATAAAAACATATAATTAAAAATAAATCTGTAGCATTTGACTGTGAAAGAAACATTATAGCTTGAGGGGATGGCAGAGTCAAGTGAAGTGGTTAAATATTTTAAGAAGTAGGTAAATCAATAGGCAGCTGGATAGGAGCCAGTAGATGGACAATAAAGATTAGAGACTGAGACAAGATTCCAGAGGAGATAGGAAGGGATGATGGACAAAGTACAAAACAGAGGGGTTGATATTTGAAGGGAGGAAAGTCACCTCTTCCTTAGAAGCTGGAACAAAGGAAACAAGAAAAGGAGAAGGGAAGTGATATATAGGAGTTTTGAGGTACAGTGTAGGAGAGAAGAGCAAGTTTACAATGGATGGCCTCAATTTTCCCTGTAATTAGGAGATGAGGCCCCCTGTTGAAGAAGAAAGGGATTGCAGGGCACTTGAGGAAATTGGAAAGGAGTGGTGAAGTCGGTCTCTTGTTCAAAGAAAGAAGATACACAGGATACTTAAGGAAAATAGAAGGTAGGGGTTGAGGAGGAGGAAAGCAAAATAGCTTCGGCGGCCTCAGATAGTCAATCAGGGAAGAATAAAAGGAGAGTTGACCCTTTCCTTACCATCCTCCCAAGCCATAGGTCTTTGGGGCTGAGGAATGAGAGGAAGAGGTCACAGGAATTGAGACTGCATAGCTACAGCACAGGGGAGTCATGAGGAAAGTCAGAGGATTGTTGGGGAGATGTGGGGTGGAGAACGGCAGCAGAATTCCTTGCTAGGCTGGTTGTAGAGTCTTCTCACCCTATTCCATTCTGAGCTGGTGGAGATCAGAATGGATCAGAGGTCCTGGCCAGAGACAGGACAGCTGAAACTGGGAAAGGCACTGACTTTCTTAAGTTCAGTTTGCAATCGATCCTGAGGAACACATCCTGGGCTCAGCTGAAATCCCAAGTGCCAAACATCTGCATCTTCATGTTGTAATAAGTGGTCTTATTGGATTCATGAATAGCATACTGAGTTTCAAATTGTGTTCTATTAGCCAAACAATCTTGTCCCATCAGAGTGGAGGGACTGTGGAGGGGGAATAAACAAATTCCAATTGTGCATTGCTCTGGGTTAAAAAATGAAGCTGTTGTGGTTTTATGATGTGTTGTGGACTTGTCTCAAAGAACTCAGAGTCAGACCACCTCGAATCCAGGTATAGGCATTTATTGAGATTGATGCCTCTCATGAAGTTGGCTAAGTTCCAAGAGGAACCAGCAATTTCAGAGAAAGCAAGATGGATTTTTATAGGATAAAGATGCAATTACATAACAGAAATCATGAATATTCAAAAAAAGCAGGAGGGGTTTGTTAAGGGATTATGTAATAGGGGAGGGGTCCCTTCTATGGTTCAGTGGTCAAACATCCTGGTTATGCTGCCCTCCAATTGGCTAGCTATTGTGATCCTGTGCTATCAAAATTTGGCCCTGTCTTGGGCTAAATGTGATTGTAGTTAAGTACAAGAACACACCTATTCAAATATGTGAATTGGATCTGGGGGCAGTGGCTACCTAGGGACAGTGGTTGTATCGAGTATGGGGGCCTGTGGTGTGGTTAAAGTCAGATTCTGTGGTTAAATCAAGACATGCCTGCTGTTCAGAGGGGCCCATAAGGAAGTTAAAAATACTGGGGGTGGGGGTAGCTTTATTAGGATTTCATCAATACTACAACTTAGGAGCTCTGATTGACGAAATGATCAACTAGCTGTGTGACTCTGGACAAGCCACTTAACCTCTGTGTCAGTTTCCACATCTCTAAAATGGACTCCCATCAATTTAATTACCACCCCTATGCTGAAAATTCTCAAATCTACCTATCCAGTTCCAAACTCTATTGCCTTCCAATCTACAATCTCCAACTGACTTTCAGACATCTCAAACTAGATGTCCAGTAGACATCTTAAATTCAGTATATCCAAAAAAGAACTCATTATCTTTCCCCCTAAACTCTTAGCCCTGCTACCTTTCTTGTTATTGTAGAGGGCAACACCATCCTTCCAGTCACTCAGGCTCCAAACTGGGATGTCATCCTATCTCTCACTGTCTTTTATCCCTCATATCTAATCTTGCCAAGGCCTGTCAATTTCACCTTTTCAACACCTCTTCAAGGTGTCCCCTTCTCTCCTCTGATACTGCTACCACTCTAGTGCAGACCTTGTCACCTCATGCCTGGACTACTGCACTAGCCGGCTGTGGGGTCTGCCTGCCTCAGTCCCTCTCTACTCAGATTCATCCTCCATTCAGTCACCTAAGTGATTTTCCTAAAGTTTAAGTCTAATGAGTCAATCCCTTATTCAGTAAACTACAGTGGCTCTCTATTGCCTACAAGATCAAATTAAAAAATGCTGTTTGGCATTCAAAGTTCTTCATAACCTAGCCCCCTCCTACCTTTCCAGTCTTCTTATACTTTACTCCCCAATATAACTCTTCCCATCCAGTGACAGCCTGGCCTCCTGCCAGTTCCATGAACAAAATGCCCCATCTCTCTGCTCTGGGCATCTTCTCTGGCTGTCCCCCAGTCCTTCTGAAATGCCTTCTTCTTCTAACTTCCTGGCTTCCTTTGAGTCCCAATTAAAACCCCACATTCTACAGGAAGCCTTCCCCAAGCCCTCTTAATTCCACTGCCTTCCCTCTGTTAATGATTTCCTTTTCTCCTACAGCGAGCTTGCTTTGTGTATGTTTGTTTGAATGTTACATCCTCCATCAGATTGTAAGTTCCTAGAGAGCAAGCACTGTCTTTTGCCTCTTTTTGTATTCCCAGTTCTCAGCACAGTGCCTGACATACAGTAGGCACTTAACAAATGTTTATGGATTGATTGGTAAAGCTCTTTGCAAAAAAGTTGTCTAAAGCCTTTTATCACTTGACAGTCACACCCGACTTCCTTTCCTTTGCCTCTATAACTTTTTATCCACTTCATCTTTTTCCACACCAACCTTACTTATTTAGGTGTGATTTGTATCTAAGCAAGTGCACCCCCCCCCCACCCTTTCACCCTCAGGACAGGAACTGGTTCTTATCTTTCATTTTCGGAAGTATCCCGAGCACCCAGGGCAGGGCTTAGCATGGAGTATGCACTAAATTAACGTCAGATTAATTGAATTGCAATCAATTATTTGTGGTCGGAACAAAGATTTGGGGAGTCATGCGAGGTCAATAAGCAATTTGCTCCTTTTTGATCCTTCCGTTTGGCACCGCTTTGGGTGAAGCCAGGGAAAATGACAACAACGGTTAAAAATTGCGGTTAAAAAGTACAGCCCCTGGCTGCTTACTACGAGAATCCCAAGGTTCAGATTGCAGACCAAGGCCGCGCTCCGGGAGGCTGCAGCCAGGATGCAGCAGCCTCATGGCTGGGGGAGGGAGGCTCCAGCTTCATTCCCCCGGGCCCCTTCTAAGGGCCAGTCCCCAGGGTGGCGGCTCCGACAGGTGTAAGAGGAGGAGCTCCGAGCCTCGGCAGGGGCGGAGAGGGGCAGGCATCCCCGTTCACGCGTTGAAGTCCCGCCCACCAGCGCTCACAACCAATCCGGGAAGAGAGCCCCTTTCTCCGCCGGAACCGCGCCCTCGCCGGCAGTGACGTCACGCCCCTCCCCTCCGTCAGCCGCGGGATTCAAATTTCCGGAAGCTGTGGAGGCTTCTGCTGTGGAGAAGGGCGGACGACGTCGTTGTCTCAGGTGGGTGGTGGCGCTGGCCGAGGTGGGCCGAGCTCCGTCAGCCGCCAGGAGACGGGGAGCAGGGGAGGGCCTGAGCGAGGAGCCCGCAGATCTTGGGCTGGTATTGTCCCAGCCGGCCGGGGCGGCGGGGATGCGGGAGCGCCTCCCCTGAGGGCGCCGCCCTGCCCCTCCCCGCGGCCGAGATTGTCTGTGAGACCCCACCCTGGCGCTTCGGGCAGCGGTCCCAGATCGGGGATTTCTCTTGTCTTTTCCTGCCTCCCGGTTCTGTGATATCCCAGAGTCGTCGTAGATTGAGGAGCCCAGGAGGTGATGTGGCCGGCCCGCGGAGGCCTTCACCTTCGAGGGATTCAGAGCCAGAGTGTTCCCCGGGAGTCCCTTCTGCGCCACACAGTTAGTTAGTCGGTCGACTTACCAAGGTTCTCATTTTACATCGGAGGAAACTGAGGACCAGAGAAGAGGAGGGACTTGAACAAAGTCAAATCAATCAGCAAACGTTTATTAGGTGTCTGTCGTGTAAGATAACAATAATAATAATAACTAACATTATGTGGCGCTTACTATGTGCTTAGCGCTTTACAATTATTATCCTATTTGATCCTCACAACAACTTTGGGAGGTGGGTGCTATTATTTTCTCCATTTTACAGATAAATATTAATACAGTGTATAAATGTTAATTATTACATGTGTAATACATGTATAAAGAATGAAACAGTCTCTACTCGGGGAGCTTGAGCATTCGGATGGGGGACATACATTAAAAAGCAGCACTGTGAAGATTGTAGTCTTGAGATTACAGGGTGGTGTTCTTGCCACTGTACTCCCTAGCTCAGCCCACATTGCTTCAGCGTTCTCAGTTCTCTTTGCAGTATCCTCCTAAAAGATTTTTCTGCCTATAGCCGGGGGTGGGGAGCCAGTGGCATGGGGCCTTTTAGGTTCTTGGGTGCAAGAAATCCTTTTATTAAGGGGATTTGTTCTGTGAAGTTTGGATTCATTCAAGGGGCCGCTGCAGGTTCCGGTCCCCTACTCTCTCCCTATACTTCATGCCATCTTGAGAATGATCTTCACAGAATCTCAGAGTTAGAAGGGACCCCAGTCCAACCCACACAAGAGAAGGAACCCTCTCTAGAACATAAGGGACAAGTGGTCATCTAGTCCTTGCTTGATGACCAATCCTCACAAAATAGTCTGTTTCATTTACAGCAAACCTAAATTTGCCAGTTTGTTGAGTTCCACCCTTTGGGCTTCCTTATAAACCTAGCTGATCATGCCATTCCTTTGCTCAGAAAGTCTTAGTTCAAACTAAGTTCTTAGTTAAAGTCTTAGTTCAAACAATCTACAATTTGGCACTGCCCTACTTTCTAGATTTCTGTTCTGTTACTCTGTTCCACACGTTCTACACTCAAGCCCAAGGAAAGTTTTCTCTCTCCCTGAGTATGCTATGTGCTGCCCAAGTTTCTGGCTTTGCTCACGCTGTTCTCTGTGCCTTGAGTGTTTTCTGTCCCATTTTTTGGCTGTTGAATTTTTGCTCATTCTTTAGAGCCCCACTCAAATGCTCAAAGGCAGCATGGTATAGTGGAAAGAGTATTGGACTTACAGTCGAGAAAGATCTGTGTTCACATTTTACTGTTGATATTTATTAGTTGTGTAATCATGGGCTAGTCACTTGACCTCTCTGAGCCTCAGTTTCCTCCTTTATAAAATAGGGATAGTTATACCTATATTTCTTTTATAAGGTGAGGTAAAACTGCCTGGCAAATTTTATGTATTCATTATGATGATGAAGCCTTTGCTAATCTCTGGTAACAATTTTCCTCCTAACACTTTGTTCTACATTTCTCTAATGTAGCTACCTTGTAATACTGTTTATTAAAGTTTTTCTATGTTTATCTTGTCTCCCTACCAGACTATTTATTAGCTCCATGAAGGCAGAAACTGTGTCTTATCAAAAATTTTTTGCTCCCCCCAGCACTAAAATACTTAAGTATTTGTTGAATGAATTTCCTGCTTGTATTTGTGTTCCCAGCACATAGCACAGAACCCAGTCCATAGGAAGCATTTAGTAAATGCTTGTTGATTTGTTGACTTCCCTGGAGGCACTTAAAAATAGGAAAGAGCTTTACTCTCCCTATAATGTCCTGTCAATTGAATACCTGTTATGTGCAAGGCACTCTGGGGAATTTAAGAAGCAGAATCACTGTAATAGCTCATTCATATAGAATTATAAAACCTCAGAGCCAGAGGGCACCTTAGAAACGATCTAGTCCAGTGCCTTCATTGTACAAATAAGGAGACTGAGGCTCAGAGAGGACTTGCTTCAGGTCACACAACTAATTAGTGGCAGAATCAGAACTAGTAATCAGGTCCCCAGACTTCTAGTTCAGTAAAGACAAAATCCCTGAAACGATTACTGAACAATCCAAGATAGAACATAGTAATTCCTAAATTGTGCATTAACAACTAGACTTTCTATAGGAGGTCAGAACAGGGGGGAGCTCCTTGAGGACAAGGGAATTATGGAAGGTTTCAGGGACCTGGAACTTAAATTTGACCTTAAAGGATGGTAGGTTTTAATAACAGAAGAGAAACTAGAACAGTATGAGGAAGAGAAGAAATGAATACTGTATGTTGGGGGGGGGCAATAAGAAAATTAGAAGGACTAAAGTGGAGGACTGGATTTGGGTTGTATTGTGAAATGAATTTGGAAAGGTAATGGGTAGTATGGATCCCAGTCATGGAGGGCCTACCTTGAAAGCCAGGCAGTTGGAGAACCCACTGTACATATCTGTTCTTCTCCAATCCCTCTTTGCAAGCAACTGCCAAAGTAATATTTCTGAAGTATAGATCTGACCATCTGGTTGTCCTACTCAATTTATTCTAGTGGCCGTGTAGTACTTCTGGGATTCAATACAATCTCCTCTTTGGCATTTAAAGCCCTTTACAACCTGGCTGCAATCTACCTTTCCAGCCTTATTATTCATTACTACCCTTATGTACTCTCTGGCTGTTAAAGTACTTCACAACCTGACCAACTACTTTTCCAGTCATCTTACCTTTTATTTCCCTCCATATACTCCAGTATCCAGTGACACTAGCCTTTTTTCTGTTCTCACACATTTCGATCCATCTTCCAACTCCTTGTCTTTCACTGACTTTCTCCTATATTGGGAATGCTCTCTCTCCTCACATCTGATTTCTAGCCTCTCTGACTTCCTTCAAGATTCAACTTAAATTCTATCTTCTATAGGTCTTTCCTGGTCATGTCCTTTCCCCCATCGCCACATAGTGGCTTCCTCCAAGGTTACTTTCCATTTACGCTATGTACATATCTTGTATGTACATAATCATTTGCATCTTGTCTACCTTATTAGAAAGTTAGCTCCTTCAGGAGTAGAACTGTGTTTTTAACCTTTCTTTGTATTTCCAGTACACAGTGCCTGGCACATAGTATGTGCTTAATAAATGTTTATTGACTGAAAAACACCACCTCTTCTATGAGGCCTTTCCTGATCCTCCCACAGCACCCCTTGTTGTTAGTGCCACTCTCTGCACTTCCATTATCTTATATTGATTCATGTACATGTTTTTTACCTTAACGTAAGCTTTCAGAGGGCAGGGACTATTGAATGTTTGTCATTGTATCTCCAGAAGCTTAGTGCTTGTTACATAGTAGGTATTTAAATGCTTGCTAATTGATTAATCTATTTAATTGGAGATATAAAGGTGAGGGGAGGATGTAAGCTTCTCAAGTTACTTTTCAGGCCTATTGGCTTATATTTTGAATATTTCTTGTCACCAACCCTTGGGACACAGTGATAGTTGTGTTTTTTTGTTTTTGTGTGTGTGTGTGTTGTTGTTTGTTTGTTTTTTTAATTTAAGCACCTCTTACTTTTCCACAGCCAATATTCATCAGAGGCAGATTTTGAACCCAAGTCCGCCAGGCTTTGAATCTTGCTCATTACTATACCAAGCTCTCTCTCATGCTAAGTATGTGGATTTGGGCGAGTCATTTAACTTCTTAGTGAATGTAGGTATCTTTCTGAGACTATAGGTTGCATAAGAGGTGTTAAGCTGCATTGGTGGAGAGAAGTTCCTCACCACAGAGTTCCCTATACCAGTGAAATCATAGATCCAATTCCTATCTTTATTCCTCTTATTATATCATCTTGGTATGCTGTATGAATCCAAGCAAATGGAAGCTAAGTGTGAAAGAGCCCAGAAAGTTACGGAAGTTAGTTAAGGCAAGAAGTTACAGCACTCATTACCTAAGCAGTGCCCTGACTTTTTTTTTCTCTTTAATATACAAGCCAAATTCCATATTTTATTGATAGTTTGAAATTAACAGGCCACCTGATAACACACTGCCAAGCTATATGCAGTGCTTTGTTATTATAAACAATGCTTTAATGATATTTTAAAAAATACTTCAGTTTATTATTTATTTATTTTTAACATTCTTTAAAAATTTTGAGTTCCAAATTCTCTCCCTCCTTTCCACCCCCTTCCCTCCAGACCATCCCCCAAACAATGGGACAATTATACCTGTGTAATCATGCAGAACATTTCCATATTAGCCATATTGAGAAACAAGAAAAATAAAGAAAATGGGAAAATTGTTCTTCAGTTTGCACTCAGTCAGTTCTCTCTTCAGAGGTAGATGGCTTTTTTTTTTTCATCATGAAATTGTCTTGGATCATTGTATTGATCAGAGTAGTCACTTCTTTCGAAGTTGATCCTCATTACAACGTTGCTCTTACTATGCACAACGAACTCCTGGTTCTTCTCATTTCACTTTGCATTAGTTCACATAGGTCTTGCCATGTTTTTCTGAAACTACCCCCCTTACCACGTACCAATAATATGTCACAACTTGTTCAGCCATTCTCCAAAGGATGAATATTCCCTTGATTGCAAATGCTTTGCCACCACAAAAAGAGCTATTATAAATATTTTTGTACGTATAGGTCCTTTTCCTTTTTGTTTTTTATCTCCTTGGAATACAGACCTAGTAGTGGGATTGCTTGGTTGAAGGGTATGCAGTTTTATAGCTCTTTGGCCTGGTTTCAAGTTGTTCTCCAGAATAGTTAGAACAGTTCACTACTCCACCGACAATCCATTAGTGTACCTCTTTTTCCCTCATTCCCTCCAGCATTTGTACCTCAGAATTGTTTTAATTTGCCTTTCTCTAATCAATAGTGATTTAGAGCATTTTTTTTCTTATGACTATAGATTGCTTTGATATCTTCTTCTGAAAACTGCCTGTTTGTATTCTTTGACCATATATCAATTGGGGAATGGTTCTTATTTTTATAAATTTGACTTAGTTATATATTTGAGAAATGAGGCCTTTACCAGAGAAACTTGCTGTAAAAATTGTTGATATTACTTTATTGTCTGTGGTACCTTTTAGCAAAATGGAGTTTTCCCTGATTATCCTTTTAATTAGATCTATTTTTGTTTTTGATTTGTCTGGGATCATGATTGCCACTCCTGCCTTTTTTTAGTTTACCTGAAGCATATTAGATTCTGCTCCAGCCCTTTATTTTAACTCTGTGTGTGTTTTTCTGCTTCAGGTGTGCCTCTTGTAAACCACATATTTGGATTCTAGTTTCTAATTCATTCTGCTATCTGCTTCCATTTCATGGGTGAGCTCATTCCATTCATATTCACAGTTATGATTACCAACTGTGTTTTTCCTTCTATCCCATTTTCTTCTCTTCTTTTCTCTCTTTTTATCCTGTTCCTCCTCAAAAGCCTATTTTGCTTCTAAGTACTGCCTCCTTTAATCAGTCCTCCCTTTTATCATTCCCCCCTTTTATTCCCTTCCCCGCCTATTTTCCTATTGGGTAATTTACATTTCTGTATACAACAGAGTGTATATATGTGTGTATGTATATGTATACACATACACAGACACATATATTCTTCCCTCTTTGAACTAACTCCTGTGAGAGTGAGATTCAGTCATTTCCCAACATCCCTCACCATTATTTTCCTCTCCACTGTAAAAACTCTTCTTTGCATACCTTTTTTATGTGAGAAAAATTTCCCCATTCTACTTTTCCCTTCCCCTTTCTCTTAGTTCATCCCTTTTTCTCACCTCTTCATTGTTTTTTGAGATAATTCCAACGTAATCAACTCATATCCATGTTGTCTGTCTGTAAACTTTTAACTGCCACAATAATAATAAAGTTCTTAGGAGTTACATATATCATCTTCCTATATAGGAATGTGGAACAGTTTAACTTCATTGAGACCCTTATGATTACTTCATGTTTACCTTTTTTATGCTTCTCTTTGTGTTTCAATGTCAAATTTTCTATTCAGGTCTCATCTTCTCATCAGGTATGCTTGAAAATCCTTTATTTCATTAAATGTCAATTTTTTTCCCCTGAAGGATTATACTCAGTTTTGCTGAATAGATTATTCTTGGTTGCAATCCTAGCTCCTTTGCCTTCCAGAATATCATATTCCAAGCCCTCTACTCCTTTAATGTGGACGCTACTAAATCTTGTGTTATCCTGACTGTGGCTCCGCAATATTTGAATTGTTTCTTTCTGGCCACTTGAAGTATTTTTTTCTTTGACCTGGGAGCTCAGGAATTTGGTTATAATATTCCTGGGAGTTTTCAGGAGGTGTTAGGTGGATTTTTTTCAATCTCAGTTTTACCCTCTGAATCTAAGATATTGGGGGAGTTTTCCTTGATAAGTTCTTGAAATAAGATATCTAGGCTTTTTCTTTGATCACAACTTTCAGATAATTCTCAAATTATCTCTCCTTGATCTGTTTTCCAGGTCACTTGTTTTTCTGATGAGATATTCACATTTTTCCTATTTTTAAAATTCTTTTGCTTTTGTTTTATTGTTTCTTGAAATCTCCTAGAGTCATTAGCTTCCACTTGCCAATTCTAATTTTTAAGGAATTATTTTCTTCAGTGAGCCTTTGTACTTCTTTTTCCATTTGACCAATTCTGTTTTTTAAGGTATAATTTTCTTTAACATTTTTTTTGTGCTTCTTTTACCAAGCTGTTAATTAATGATATTATCTCATTTGAGCTTTGCCACACCCATGTAGGGAAGGTAGTGTTAGTAGTATTAGATGCAGAAACTGAGGATCACTTAATAAAGGGTAATTGACTTGCCCAAGGTCACATATTGAGTGGCAGAGACAGAACTGGAACCCAGGTCCTCTGACTTCAAATTCAGTAGTCTTTTCCTTATATCACACTGGCTTTTCACTCTCAGTTATTACTCTTGGGTTTTTGCCTACTTGATTCTTTTCATTTTTTGATTCCATGCATATTGTCATTTTTTCATATAGTGCCCAGTCTTATTTCTTTCTTACTTGAACCTGTACCCATCATCTCCTGAGTACCTGCTGGAAGAGGTCACAGAAGAACATTGTGCTTGAAAGTAGATTGAATTGGCTCAGGTGCTACTTAAAAGCTACGTCACCTTGTGAAAATCATTTCACCTCTTTAATCCTCTATTCATCTGTAAAACTAGAGATAATAATGAATATTTTTGCCTCACAAGAGTTGTTATGAAGATTAAATAAGGTAATGTCTGAGAAAGTGCTTTGTTAAATTGTAAAGTGCAATAGAGATGTAAAAGGATCACTTAGCATTTTTTCTAAGTTGGAAATGTTCTTAGTTGTGGCCTATATATGGTAGGCTTAATGTATGATTTCAACACTCTTCCATTTTGGGTACTTATTTTGCTGAGAGCAACTGAGTATGTATAGCATTGAGTCTTTAACCTATCTTCTTATATGTTTTCATTCTTGTTTTTACAGAATATTCCAGATATGTCCTCCAGAAGCCCCAAAGATTTTGTTAAAAGTAAATTGGGATTAAAGACTAGCACCTCCAAATCTGAAACTGAATTAGAGAACTTTAAAAAAGAAAGTGCAGCTCTTAAAAAGTCTATGGAAGAAAATGCAGATGCAAAAGGAAGGGTGGCAGAAAAAGAAATTCACAGACTTCAAGAGGTAGATGGTTTTGACTTTTGAATATTGTAATTAAATTGCATGTTCTGTTCATCATTTCCTCCCCTTATCTTATTAACTTCAAGTCGTTGACCTGTGCAGCTCTTCAAAGATCAATCTGATGAAAAGGTTGGATAACATCGAGACTGCTTTAGAATATTCCTTTATCTTAAACATACCCAAAGAGATTTTAAATTCACATATAATTCATTGGAATTATCAGGTGTTTATTAGATATAGAGTTAAAATGTATGTTAGAGATCATCTAATATAGATCCTTCTCGTTTTAGAAGTGAGAAAAGAAGTGAGACTATAAGAGGTTAAGTGACTTACCCGCAGTCATACATATTAGGGGAAGAACTCAGGTTTTAAACCCAGGTCCTAACTCTAAGTCCAGCAGGCCATCTTATATTAACATGTTTTAGAAGAGTCTTTACCTCTACCAAACAATCTAATAAATATCTTTCTAAAACTTAAAAAGTCTTCATTTGATTCCATAATGTCAGTACTTCACTATTATTTATCTATAAAACACGTTTAACGAAATTTAATTGCAAGAGTATTTTTAACTGGATTTTTCTTTTCTAAAAGTTTGAGTCTATATAAATTCTTTTGTATTTAAGATTTTTACAATTTTATAATTTAAGTTATAGACTGGCTATTTGGTGGTCATTGCATTTTATTATTTTATCAAATACTAGCCATTTTCATATTTTAAAGTACTTAATTTTTCCTGAAACATATGCATGCACATACATACTTATATCAAGTCTTTGTCATGACCAACAGTCTAGTTTGTCTCTTCTCTAACTTCTTAGAATCAAGGCTGCTCATTTGAGATTACTGAATTAACAATGTGAAAAATTTATGTGAATATTTAACAACACATTTAATTGTATCGTAGATTATCATCATGAATTTAGATCATAAATTTAGGGCTGAAAGGAAGCTGAGAGAATGTTGAGCCCCACCCAACCCACATATTTTATAGATGAGGAAACTGAGGCCCGGAGATTGATTTGCCCAGGGTTATGCACCTAGTAAGTGTTCAAGGCAGGATTTGAACCCAGGTCTTCGTAAGTCCAGTGCTGTATTCACCATGTCGCCTCTCACATCTTGACTTCCTTCTGATAGTTTTCCCCAGGCTATTTTAAGTAAAGTTCTTATAAAACTCTAATTTATAAAAATTAGCTTTTGGACTTTAGGAAGGGGCAGTTAGTTGAGATATTCTAAGTATCTTTAAACCCTTTCAAGTATTTGAAGACAATAAGGTTATCTTTCTTACTTTTCTATTGTATAGACTAAGAAACTCCCAAATTTTCTATCCTTTGTATGACATTGTTTCCAGCCCCATCTTCCCATTCCTTTGAATACACTTTAGTTTATCAATACTTCTCTTAAATTGTAGTACCCATGCATAAAATACTTGAGTCAATCTACCAAAGCATACTCAGTACCTATATAGATTCAATTACAAGATGCTCCTTAAAGAAATAAAGAACAACTTAAATAGCTGAAGAAATATTCAGTGCTCATGACTAGGCCATGATAAAATAAAAATGACACTGTTACTGAAGGTAATTTATAGATTTTTATCATACCACTCAGACTACCAAAGGGATATTTTATCAAGATGATAATTTAGAAGTGTCTTACAGAGTCTTTACCTCTACCAAACAACCTAATAAATTTCCTTCTAAAACTTAAAAAAAGTCTTGATTCCATAATGTCAGTACTTCACCATTATTTATCTATAAGACATATTTAATCAGTTATTGGACTTTAGGAAAAGACAGTTAGTTGAGATATTCTAAATATCTTTAAATTCTTTCAAGTATTTGAAGACAGGTTGTCTTTCTTCATGTGAACTAATCCCAAGATAGCTCTCCCATATCATAACATATACAACTGATTTTTTTTTAACCCAGTGAAAGACTTTATATTTATCCTGTTAAGTTATATCTTTCTGTTATCATGAGTCATGATTATGCCAACTCTAAAAAGATATTTCAAATGATCAGAATGTTGGAGTGTGTGCTTGTGTTCTTCTGTTTTGTATGATAAATGGGTAATTGCTAGATGTAACTATCCCTGCTTGTTTATGTCATTACAAATTTCTTCTATGGCTTCAGTTGATAAAAATGTTGAAGAGTAGTGCCATGGACAGAGTCCTTTCACAGCCCCCAGCAATTAGTCAGTACTCAACAGGTTAAACATGAGTATGGTATTAGTAGCTTGTCAGCAGCAGCAATAGTTTTTTGTTTTTGTTTTTTCTCCAGTTTCATACAAAAACCTTTAAATATAAGATCATTTATCCAATTTAGTTTTTACCCTCCTTTTGTTATTTATTCATATACTGAAAAAGAAAGATGAGGCTTCTCATTTTTTCTCTTCTCAACTAGCATCTTAATTTTGAATTAGTTCAAAAGGTGAAATGGGGAAAATATTTCTACATCCAAAGAAGATGCTACTGCTGTTAAACTATGACTTTTTATTTTAGTAGTGCTTGAGTTCTCAATAGTTCACTCCTTATAACTTCCTTTAAAGAGGAACTTCTACCTACTTACTTTTCTCTAGTTCTCTTTTAATTAAATGAAGATTCCTGGGAATTGAGGTCAACAATGAGAGAGAAGTGAGTTCTTCACTTTGTGTATGAGACTGTAGTAGAAAAATATTCACATAGCGTTTTTATGTCTTTACATATTTTTCAAATTAAAAAAATTATTTTAGTACTCATTGAAAACTTTATTTTGTGGTGACCTTCATTATCTTGTCTTCATTTTGACATTTGTTTGTCATTGTTTATCTTCGTGTTTGAGTTAACTTTGTAGTGAGATTCTTAACTTTTTTTTTGTCTAGAAAGTATTTGCCCTTGAAACTGAAAAGGAGAAGAATAGTTACCATCTGACAGAGAAAGAAAAAGAAATACAGCAATTAAAAGTCCAGCTGAAATCTAGAAGTAGCATCAGTTCATTACTGAGTCAATTAGAAGAAAAAACTAAAGAGGCAGAGAGAAGAGATCAACTCTTAAAGTCTTTATCAGAAGAGACCGACATTCTGAAAAAGCAGTTGTCTGTAGCAACCACAAGACTGTCAGAACTTGAAAGCAAAGCCAATACACTTCATTTATCACAGGTACTTAAATTTAAACAAGAAATCCTAGCATCTAAATTATTTTGGTCCATAATCAAATAGACTTAGAAAATGTATTTTGTAACTCTAGTGTGACCATAGCTAAGTATATAATAGAGATTATCTCATGACTTAGTTATAGGGTAACTAATTTCAGCAACTATTTTCTTTTACCCAAAATATTATTCTTGCTGAACTGCTCATTTGTTCATTTTCACATAAAAATAATTATATCCGAATTAGCTTGTCTAAGCTAGCTATGTAATAGATGCTGTATGGATAAGACCTATATTGCTGCTGAGAATTTTAATATTTTTGTGGAAGTGTCTGGAAGAAATTAAATATTGCCTTTCTCGAATACTTGATTTTAAGAGTGTTTTTCAGTATGCTTCGGTAACATGGAGGCAACTAGTATTAGATATCATTGCATATTGTCTCTATTTTACCTACCAATTTATTTACTATTAATGTTATACATGTTATATTTCTCTATAATTAAAAGTACTGTATAAGGGGGTTAGATAAGATCAGAAATGGCTAGATCTTCCAAACAATCCAGCCTATAAAAAGCCAACTAAAATATTTGAATGTGGAATGTAAATGTTAGCTTTTAAATAGAAATTCTAATTTAGTCCCTGAATGGATTTTATAGTATTGACATTTGAGAGGTAATATAGAGGCTATAGAGTCAGTCTTGGAATCAGAAAGACCTGAGTTCAAGTCTTGCCTCTAGCATATAATAGCCATGTGACAGTGATAACTCATCTAACCTCTCAATTCTCTAGGCAACTCTCTTTAAAATAATAGCTTGCACACTAGTTGCTGTCTGCACCTTTGGAAGGGAGTTCCCTACACTAATGAAATCACAGTTCCAAACAAATTTTAAAAAGTCATATCTCAACCAGCATTGTATCTATAAGTATTCTTATGCATTATCCTTGGCCTCCTCACCTGTTGTTATTGTATTGTGTACCAAGGAATCATGGCTAGATACAAAATAAAATATAGAGCAGAGCCTTTAAAAAAGTTTTTGAGCTTTCTAGTCAAAAATGACAACTAAATTCTTTCTTACCAAATCTTGAAGAGCTGAAATATAGTTCCATTATGGGCATTTTATGATCTAGCCTGAAAACTTAACTATTATTTTATAATCTTCTATATAGCTGACAGGGTTACAAACAGACTTTGAGAATGAAACTTGAAAAAATAAGTAGGTACTTAACTGTGTTTTTGACATGACAATTTAGTGTCTCTCAAAAGATATTTGAATAGTGTAATGATTTTCATTTGGATGAAAATCTTTAGGCTATTTGTGACCTGTTTTAAAGGAAGTTTGTGCTGTTCTGGTGGGCTTAAAAGGAGCACATCATACCTGAAGAACTCTGCTTTTTCCAATCTACTTAAATTTCGAAGAGATCCTTATTGCACTTGCCCAAAGCCATACAGTACTTTTATGTCATGATGGTTCCTCAGAGTACACCAACCTGGGATGTATAGGTGCCTTAAGTTTTGTGGTGGAAATCATGAGATCATGAACTTATGCTTAGTGTAAGCAGCTAATAACTTTGATTTGTTTGTAGAACATGGCTACACGTTTCACTGAATCACCTGTGGTTAATATTCATGCAGTGGAAATGCAGCTGAAAGACGTAAGTTCAATGGGCATTTTCCTTTTGATGAATTCTTTATTTAAATGGGAGCTTACTTTCTATGACAATTGCTACCATATGTATACTATAATTTTTAATAAACTACTGATGAGCTAGCAGAGTTGAATTTTTTTAAGAGACCCCCATGTTGGTATTGCCCCATGTAGCCTAGAGAAGTTTAGAAAGTTTGTCCATTGCCATTAGTGGATACTCAAAATTTCCCTCTCCCTAAAGAGTTCCATGCCTTCAATCACCTATAATACATCACCTATAATAGAATTCATTGGTGGAATCTACTTTTATAAACTGTCTTCCTTTTTGTCTTTCACTGATGTAAATTATAATCTTTTTTTACGTGTCTCATTTATAAGATTTATATTTCCTAGTTTGAAAAATGACTTAATCTTGTAATCCTTAGTCATAAAATGAAAAAATTATGAAGAAAGTATGTTTTGCTCTTAGTCGAGTGTCATTTTACTCTAGAATCACACATGTACTTGATATGGATGTTTGTATGATAAAATTGTATTTTTACATAACTTCTTAATAAATTATACATGGATTATTAACATAATTAAAAATGAATAAACCAAAGATACCACAGAATTTATGTTCGTAGGCCATCTTTTCTTGCTTTGATATTTGACACATGAGGGTTAATGATAATCATGAGTTGATTATCAGGCCAGCTGTTGTAATTGAACCTGAAAAAGTAACTGGCCTGAAAGATGCACAGGTAGACTTTTAAGGTTTTTGCTTTATTCTGACCAGTAAGTACACAAACCTTCTATAAAGTGGTTTTGCATTCTGAAAGAAGAAATGGAACCAATTTATTTCACTGCAGAAAGGGTCACAGTGGAGCATCACAACCTTTGTCAAAGTGCCTCTCCTAGAGGTAATTGAAAAAGACAATTGTATGTAATCGGCCTACCTCCTTTTCCAGTCATACATGTTCTCAGTAACATCTTTGACTCTACTTCTTGTATGAAGACTATTACTGGCAATATGCTGCAGCCTACTTACACCTACCACGAATCTTTCTGCTGCCCTTTGGGTCACCCAAAACATTTATTCTTCTGAGGTGATGGTATTTCATGATTAATAGCCATGTAGCATTGCCAGAAAATAATGGTGTTAAAAATGAACTTTTGCAACAGAGAACAGGTTGTGATCTTGGAAAACAGTGTGATTTTCCAAATGTAATCTAGGCTATCCTCTTCCTGTTCATTTCTGGATTCAACTCACTGGCTATCTTCAGTACTCAAGATATGTACTAGTGGATTGCCCATTCAGCTGTGCACATTTTTTATCTACTTCTGTGAATTGCTAGTTTCTCAAATGACCATGGATCTTATTAAGGAGGTTCTTTAATGTTATTAGGTTTTATACAGTCACCATAGTATTATCTGCAAATTGCTACAACTGACAAACCTTTCTAGCTATAGGGTACTCCTCTTCCATTTGTGTTTTGTGTGGAACATCTCCCAGGACACAGCCAAAAGCCTTTTGGTGAGCGTGTCTCTTCACTTATGCCACATTTAATGTTGATACTCAGGAGTTCTTTGAAACTACATGTATCCTGTCATCCTATGATCTTTAAGATTTTATTGAGGGCTTTTGATGTCACCAGCCCATTTCCCAATATCCTCTCCACCACTCCTAGCCTTCCCTTGTCAGAAAGATAAATGGTTATGCACATCTGACTGATATAATGACCATATATGACAGTATATGCAACAAATATTTGGTACTACCAAATGGCAAGTAAATCCACCACCATCTCACCACCCCACCCCTTACCTTTCCTCACTAAATTCTTAACTGAAAGGAGAGGGGTATTTTTCATCATCTTTAGTTTGGTATAAATAATTTTCTTCAAGTTCAATCCAAGTTGCTTTTTAGTGGGTTTTTTAAAAAAATTATATTATTGTAATTAGGTACATACTCCTGGTTCTAGTTCATTCTGCATCAGCTCATACAAGTCTTTCAGTATTCCTCTGAATTCTTCCTTGTTTAAGCACATGTGTCATTCTATTCCATTTATATGCCACAATTTGTTGAATCATTCAGCAATTGATAGTACCTACTTTCTTTCCAGTTTTTTGCTACCATTAAAGAAAACCCACTGCTTTTAATATTTAGATATATAGGGGACTATCTGTTAAGCACTTGGAATACAAATACAAAAACAAAGAGAGTCTGTACCCTCAAAGAACTTACATCCTAATAAGGAGAGACAATACATAATAGGGCAGCTAGGTAGTACAGCACTATGCCTAGTCCAGCCTCAGACACTTAACTAGCTGTGTGATCCTGGACAAGTCACTTAACCTCTGTTTCAGTTTCCTCATCTGTTAAATGGGGTAGATGCTTAATAATTTTTTATTGTTTGATTGATTATAGCATCTACCTCCCAAGGTTGTTGTAAAGATCAAATGAGATAATCATTATAAAGTGCTTAGCACAGTGCTTGCCACATAGTAAATGTCATATAAATGTTAGCTAGTATTAATTGTTTTAAAAAATTTTATTATAAAGGATTGGTGGTCAGGGATGGGTATTTTGGTTTGGAAAGTTACAGAGATGGTGGAGCAGATCAAGAGTTTAGTGATTTTTCTTCATAATTCTAAATATTTTCCACAATTGTTGGACCAATTCACAGCTCTATCAACAGTACATTAGTGTAACTATCCTCCCATATTCCCTCTCAATATGAGTTTCTTTTTTGTTTTTTAATCATCCTTGCCAAGTTGATGGATGTGAGGAGAAACTTCACAGTTGTTTCAATTTGCATTTCTCTTATACATAACTTGGAGTGGTTTTTTTTTCCCTCATGGTGGTTTGCTGTTCTTCTGAGAATTTTGTTCACATCCTTTGACACTTATCTAGTGCAGAGTTGCTATTAGTCTAATGTGTTTTCATCAATTTCCTATAGATCTTAGATACTGGATTTATATTAGAGAGATTTGATGCAAAGTTTTCCTAAATGCACTCAATAATTTTCTCCTCTTATTTTAATGTCATTGATTTTTGTTCCTGGAAAAGCTTTTTAATTTTGTATATTAGAAATTCTCTTTTGTATGACTCATGAATTTCTGAGACAACTTGTAGGAGTAAAAAATCCCATTTTTTTTCTTACTCTAATGAATCAAAAAAAAATTTTTTTTTGATAATTAGCAAACACACACAGCAGGGTGTTATCTACATTGTTGTCAGGTACTTACCTGAGAAGATGGGGTCTGCTATAGAAATTTGTACATAAAAATTTGGTTTATCCAGATAACTCCATCATATATATTTTGTATTATCTTTTATTCTGCCCAGCATCTCATTACATTCCAGAAGTTTCTTGGTATAGCTTTTTAATTACCTTTTTCTTCCCCCAAAAAACTAGGGTTTTTTTATTATATTGAGAAATTTATTGTTTATCCAGAGTCATCTTTTGGTCTGTTTTGATAGCTATTACTTATTTGTGAGATCATATTGTCCCTCCTTTGCTCTCTAATCTTGCAGTGACCTTGAATAGTAAAAATTGTCTACTCCCACCAAATAGCTATTTGAAGGATTATAGCACTGATCTCTCTTTATTTGAATATCAACAGAAGGATATCAACACATAAATATTTATCTATAATAAAAACACATACATAATTATCTATAATGAAAACCCCACAAAGAAAGTAGAAGAGGAATACACTTCCCATTGTTGGCTATTCACTAACATCATTACTTAGCTATTTAGGCTGCAATTCTTGCCTCTCAAAGTTCCTACGTGATTCCCTTAGATGATTCCCAATACTTTTTTTATTTTGTAAGACTAGGTTAATCCAGGGAAAGCCTTTGGTGTTAATGATTGGTTCTCTAAAGATTCAGCTGTAATATTCTTCGAATGTTGGTAAAACCTGACTCACATAACTAACATCACCTACATGGAGCTAATTCTGTAATCATTACTTACTGTGAAGGGTTGGTGACTTTTTTTTCTCTCTAGGACCCCTAACCTATATAGGGTCCCATAATTCTCTAGCAGCCTGGGGTAGGGGTTTTTGTTTGTTTTGTTTTTTAGCACAAGAAATATAAAACATTTTATTTAGCTGCACTTTTAAACAAAATTCATCAATACATTAAAAAAAATAAATTAATTCTATATTATAGCCACTTAAGAAGAAAAGAAAGACATAAGACATATGAATCTTAGTTTTATCATCTGTGAAGTGAGAAGATAGAGCTCGATCACTCTAAGGTCCCTTTCAGTCCTAATAATTCTTTTAATCTGTGAATCTAAAACTATACAGAAATAAACCAAAGTGAGGAGAAAGAGGTTTTCTACTTTCTAGAATAATACTACCATCTCGTGGCCTCTTAGGATATTGCTTCTCAAGATTTTAAATCATTATGCATTTTGGTAGTCTGTGTGTTACTACCTCAGTGCATCACCCACATGCTTGTTAAAGTTCAGACAAAGGTTCATTTAAGTCTGGAAGTCATTGATTCTCCCCCTCCCCTACCATATAAAGGTATAACTCTGATGTTTCAGTTCATGGAAATGAGCACAACATGCTATTGGTGGTGGACTATTATCTAAAGATGGCCTTAATGCTATGACATCTGAATTGTAACTGCTTCAGTCCTAGTAAGGTTATTGATGCCATAGTGCTAACCCAGGTTTAATCTTCAGACTGAACTGACTGGCTATAGTTACATATTGTACTGCTATGTCAGTGTATCAAATGCTAAATCAAGACAGTCTCCTGGGGCAGCTAGATGGCGCAGTGGATAGAGCACTGGCCCTGGAGTCAGGAGGACCTGAGTTCAAATGTGACCTCAGACACACAGTACTCATTAGCTGTTTGACTCTGGGCAAGTCACTTAACCCCAGTTGCCTCACCAAAAACAAAACAAAACAAAAAAAAAGACAGTCTCCTTTGGTAACACTGGATCTGACTCAGTACTATTACTGACTACTACTTTGGTGGCTATTTAGGCCTAGCATATGTGAA